AGCAGCAGGCGTCTGAAGGCAGGCGGGGGGCACCCTGAAGAGCAGCCCGGCCTCCCTGGGGCCTCCTGCCTCCACACACAGTGCAGATCTGCTGCGGTTCCTGCTTAGTGACCAACTGGGCAGGCCTCCAGGGCGGCCGCTCAGACGACAGCAGCTTCCGACCGGCCCCTGGATCACGGCTGCGGCACGAAGGGAATGTCACACCCGAGAATGCCACCGTGCTCCCAGACAGCACCCCGCTTCCGGGGGAAGACACCGGTTCCCGGCTTTTCATACAGTAAGTTAGCAACCTCACTGGCCATTCAGATCCCAGCAATAGCAGGTCCTCATTTAGACCAGAAGGAAGTCTGCTTCCTGAGCCGTATCAGAACTGATTCAGAGGAAGAGGCACACTGAACGGGAAAGCAGTTCTGGGGCTTTTCATGCACAGACAAGGTTCCCTCTCGCCGGCAGAGAGACGTGGAGGTCCCCTAGCCAGGCCTGGGGGGGCGGGGGGGGGGCTCTGTGAAGCCGGAGACCGAGTCTGAGTCCCATGGACCTGCCCCGAACTAAATGGCATGTCCGTCCGTCCTCGCTCGCCAGGCCTGTAGTGCCGGCAACTACGGTGCTGCGTACAACTAGCCAAGCACGTGGCCGCCGTCCACTCAGGCACCTGTCCTGTGGGTGCGGCACGGGGGGCCGTGCGGACAGCAGGGCGTGCCCTCGCCCTGAAGGAGCCTCCGCCTCCACAAGCACCAGCGCAGGTGGTGAGTGACACGAGGGTGCAAATCAGTGTCTGTTCTCACTGAATCCAACCCTTCGCCAATTTCCTGATTAAAACCAACAGAGAGAAGCCAACACTAATAAGACTTCCTTAGGAATCACTTATAAAACAGCAAATGGTTCACTCTGACCACATTAGCAGGGCGGCAGGGATGAGTTCTCCGGCCGGGGACCTGCACTCCGAGCTTTAACCTGACGGGTGTGTGACAACAGGCTGCACGGCGCTGCACGACCGGCGTTTACTGGACATGAAGCAGCGCTGGGTTATTCGCAGGTGGATCCACGCGGCGTGGCCGGGATCCGGGAGCAGCAGTCGGAGTGCAGCGCAGGAGGAGCAGAGCGCAGACACCTGCCTGCGGCCTAGTGTGCTGGAGCCAAACAGCACCTGATACACTAACTAGGAGCCATTTCCTCGGAGGTCTCCCATGCATGAAGAAAAAGCCTCTTAAAATAAATGTAAAATATTCTGTGCTTGATGGTGTCTGAGCAAGGATTCAGTCCCAGCACCGAGGGCAGTCAGCGCTCCTCACTCAGCCTGCAGGCAGGAAGCAGGCGGCCTGCGGTCTCCCAGTCACCTCCGCACAGGGCACAGGGCACAGGGCACAGGGCACAGGGCCGCACTGTTACTTCACACCTGAGTCAGCAGCGGGACCGCAGGCTCCCAGCTGGGCGTCCTCAGAGACAGAGGAGGGCTGTGCACCAAGCGCGCTATGAGCTCAGGAGCAGCGCTGAGCAGACAGGACGCTCGCCACTGCAGTTGCTCAGAGGCTCAAACTTCAGGACACGTGCACCTTCCCGCCCCGATTTTCCAACAGCCGATCCAATTATTATCCCAGCAGAAACGTAAGAAATATTCCCAAGTAGGGCTATGATTAGTCTACAAAAATGTCTGCCTCCACTTCATAATAGTAACGTTATTCTGACACTAAAGAAAAGAAAGGAGAAGAGGAGGCCCTTAGGATAAACACAAATGGTGACACAACTTCAGGCAATCAGGGAGCACGTGAGTCAGCAAACAGTGACAGGCGATATAAATGAGTGGCCAAGGCACTCAACACGGAGAGCACTAGCGGAATTCAATCACGGGCTCCCCAGAAGCAGGCACACGCTACTTCAATGCAGACGGCGGCCGACAGGGTTTCAGAAAAGTGATAAAAGCGTCCTTCACTCACCAGTGCTGGATCCGCTCTCGGCAGCCGGTGACCACCTGTCATGGAAACAGATAACTCCTCATGAGAAACAGGGCATGGCACAGCCCAAACCCGCGCGTCGCCGCGAGCGGGCCTTACAGATTCCACGGCGCCTCCGGCCCCATCTGTACGTGTCACCCGCACCGAGATGGGAGCGCTGGTTCCTAAGCAGCACACTCTATCACACCCTCTAACGCGGGCTGATAACCGCAGAACAAATTACAGCTCCGGCTCCGCTCGGTGCAAAGCCCGCTGCACAGCAGTGAGATGACACATGATATAAGATAACTAGTATTTTGTACAATCTACAGACCTGCTTTCAATGTTACATATTTTGTAGGATACACAAATGTTACAAATAACAAAAAAGCTCATGTAACATCCACGTTTCATCAGTTAAAAAAATGACAGTAGTGAAAATATTTTATTTTGTCAGTATATCTCCGAATGTTCTCACCTGTGATTTTTATTCTGACGCATTAAAAATGAGTTCAGTGATATCTTTCTACTACATTTTCAAAGGGAAATACTTGGGATAAAGAGATGCTCTGAACAGCCCATTCGTTCCCCCTGTGAATTATGATAAAAGTGTAAGCACCTCATAGGCAGTTGAGCCTATAATAGGAAAACAGTAAAATTAATGACAAAAGTTGTTTGTTTCCCTCCGCGGTATTTCCGCAGAGTCCCACAATGCTCCGAACACCAGTAAGAACACTAGCCAATAAAGGGGAAGACACTTACATAGCGATTGAAAAGCAACACTGTTTCCAAAGATTATTAATCACTTGCTTTTACATGGCCCATTAATAAACATCTTAAATAATAATTTCAAATGCTGTAGCACCATTTTAGAGACAAAGAAACTAAGGAATAAAAGCCAAAAGGCTCAATACAAAGCCACATGAAAAAAAAAATAGCAGAATTATCTGGGGTCTGGGGTATTGTTTTGTTTTTTTTTGAAACCTCACCTAAGGATATGTTTAGTTTTTTTTATTATTGATTTATTTTTATTTTTTATTTTTTTTTAAATATATTTTATTGAGTTTTTACAGAGAGGAAAGGAGAGAGATAGAGAGTTAGAAACATCGATGAGCGAGAAACATCAATCAGCCGCCTCCTGCACACCCCTCACCCTCCTACATGCACCCCCCACCAGGATAGCACCCGCAAGCTAAGTATGTGCCCCAACTGGTACAAAGCCACAACCTTGGTGTATGGGACGATGCTCCAACCAACTGAGCACGGGCCAGGGCACTGTACCCACTGCTCTGGCTCACTGTTCTGAACACCGATAACTGTCTGTCTGTCTGCTTCATGTTTTACCCTGAAATCACAAGGGGGTGGGGGCTGTCACTAAATCTCTCTAACATTTACTAGCAATTCCTGAAATAACTGTCCTCCTTTGGGACATGTTAAATACGAGGGCAGGAACCCTGCACAGAATGATGCTGTGATCAGATCCCCAACCACACCCCACATTCACTCAGCACAGGGGTCCGCTGTGGGGGGAGGACCTCGGAGCATCACTCCCTGAGCCACACCGAACAGCGGCGCTGACATCGCCGACCGGGCACCTAGAAGGGCCGGCCGAAGCGACACCAGTCCACCCTGCTGTCTCTGATCTGGCCGTCGCCGTGAAAGACACAAACAGAACTCCGTGTCAATTGAAGAGAACACCTCTGCATGGAACCCTTCTGATGAAGTTCCTACTGAACGGCCCCGTGAAAAGATGAGACCCGCTGCCGCCGACGCTGGTCTCCACGCATGAGGTGAGCCAGCAGCACCCGAGCAGGGCTTCATTAACCTCCACGCGGAACCTGCCGCGGCTGCATATTAACTAGTTACATATTCATAATCACCTACATTATTTAAAGGGCCTTCGATGAAATGTTCTCTGCAATATCCATTAGTGACGGTGTGAAAGGTCACAGAAGATAGTCTACGGAAGGCTTCCAGGAAGGCTTTTTAATTAGTAAATATGTAAATTTGGCACATCCGCTTTTTATGCTTAAAAAACAAGTCCGCAGTAGGATGGCCTGTCTTCCTGCCGTTGCCCCCACTCTGCTCCCCACCAGGTTCCAGCTATCCTGCCCCAGCCCGCCCCTCCCTGGTCCCTTCTCTTTCGTAAAAACAGTTTCCCAGGAGCAGATTTCAAGGATACAACAACAACAGAAAATCTGCTTGGTCATTTACAAGGGAAACCCACTGCCAAAAGGACTGTCTTGCACCGAAGAGTCTACTGGCCACGGGCAGGGTTCAGAACAGAGGCTGCAGCTGGGCGCCACCCAAGTACAGGCCAGATACTTTCAGAACCAAAGAAATGAAGGAAAAGGTGAAGCAGGCCCCACGGAGACAGCGCCCCTGGCACGTCCATGGTTCTCTTTGCCACAGGACTCAGTCCACGGCTTCCGACAGACTCCTGAACCCAGGCAGTTTGCTTACATTGTGAGGTATCTGTAGTTTTCCTCGTCACAGCAAGTTGCTGTTTTTTTAATTTAGTAAATTTCTACAATGTCAATGTGAAAGAAAATTTTAGAAGGAAGAAAATCTTATGATTCAAACTTGAGTCTACCTGGGTTAAAAAACAAACCTGTCTCACTTTTCTGTGACGTTAAATAATTCCAAATAATCTTATTCCCTCTGAAAATGAACTGATTAATTCCTTTAACTGTTAATAAAGTGACCAGAAGAAGGAGAGCCTGGTTCTATAAACAGCCCTTGGGGAAAACAACAAGAAGCATTTCGTTACTTTGTGGTCCTTCACACAAGCTTTTTTTAAAAAGTAAGATGGCTATCGAGGAACGAGGAACTGAGCCAGCTCCAGCTTTCTCAGTTAAACCTGCCAAAACACGGAACTGTTGCTCCTGAAGAAAGAAAATCTTATTGAACCATTTTTAGAAAAAGAATTGGTCAGCAGGCTTCAACAATTAAAATAACTGACCCAGTCAATTCTGTAATATAATGGCACTTACAGCCAGGAATTGTAAATAAAATACGTCCGTAGTGGAAGTAGAGCACTAAGTCCAGTACAGGGGTCGGCTAGGAGCCGGCCTCCCGCTCTTTACGACGCGCCCTCTCTCTCTAAGAGTCTTTGCCGACACCCCAGTCGTCAGTCACATGGCACCTGCCCTACCTACCCCAAGAGTAAGACTAACAGAGTTTCGCCAAGACGTCCCCTCATAAACCAGCTGTGAGCAGTTGTCAGGGGGGCTTCGTCCTCCCCCGAAGAGCCGCACCTGTGTTCAGCAGTGAAGTCACGCGCCCAGTTACAGCTGCCAAGCACCGCTAAGGGGGAAACGGTTTTAAACCGGGTCTCCCACGTCCCAAAGCCCACACTCACTGCGTGGGTCGGCTTCCACAGGAAAGCAGCTGTGTGCATCCTCTCTCTCTCTCTCTCCCTCCCTGACTTGGCTGCTGCTCCTGCCCTCCCTCCATAAGCCCACAGTCACAGTAATGCAGTAAAAGCAAGAAAGCTTAAACCCACCCATAACAGTCCTTCCTTCTTCCCATGCCTCACTCAGCTCATGGCCCTCAGGTCAAGCAGCTAAGTATGAACGGCACATGTCCCAGGCCCAGTGCGTGTGTGTGCTTGCGCGTTCATGTGTGTGTGTGTGTCCGCGCGCGCGCAGGCTAGAGGAACAGGGCCGGCCTGCAGTCACTATCACATCGTATGTTGGAGGCACTAACCGAGTTACATGTCCAGGATGACGACACACAGCCCAGCCAACAAACTGGTTTTGCTTTACGTGGGGGTCCCGCTGACATAGAGGCATATTCTGCTACGAAGGGCTAAGTGATATGTGATCGGTTTAAAGTGAACAAAGCCTATGGGACGCAGGAGTAAGAACGCCTTTGCTCTCACCTTAGGAAGGCAGGCAGCCTGGTCTCCCGTGTGTATGTCTCCACTCATTCCCCTTGGCTCCTGGCGCTGGTAACAGTCCGCCAGGGGCATCAGCCGCGTCCCCGTGGGAAATCCGAGCCACATTCCAAGTGGCCTGGAGTAGAAGCTGGAGGGCGGGGCACTGTGCCTCAGTGGCTCGGAGCCGCGCCCTTCACTCCTAACGTCTCCCTACACTGCACTTCCGGATCCCTCCGGCAACTGCCATGGTGAGAGCCCGGGGACTGCCCAGGCACAGCTCCGAGGGGCAGGCCTCTCCTGCTAGCTGCCATCAGCCACGGCTACATGCTGGGTTTCAGAGCCCCCGAGTCAGAAAGGAAAAAGGACCCGGAGGCTACGCTGGCTGAGCTGACAGCTCCTTAGCAGCTGAACTGAACGTTAGTAAAGGCCGTTCTGTCGATTAAGAAAGTAGGTGCACATGTCGTCACACAGCAACTAAGAAGTGCGCCCAACAAATCAGTAAAACACTGCAGGTCTCCAGGGAGCCAGCCTTCTCTGTAAAGGAGGAACTGACTACAGGTTCCTACCAGAAAAAAAACTCAACACGAGCACTAAACTGCAGTGCACTGGGGTTCTGTGTAACGCTTGTAAACAACTTCACTTTCTAAATATCCTAAAAGGCAAAAACACCAAAGCTGCTACCAAAGTTAACTCCAATTATATAGAGCCACCGCTGAAACACTGGAGGTTCTTATTGAAAAAATATAGCCAGGATGGAATCAACACGGCCCTCCTCACCGCCCCTGGGCACTGAGCCGGTTTCCTACCAGGCTGCCCGCACGGCCCCGGTATTCGCTCCGGTCCCTTTAGCAAGGCCGGACTGTGTCTGACATGCCTGCCACTCCCTGAAGGAACAGCTCATTGCAGACTAAACACAAGCAGAAGGACGCACCAAGGCCGGGCACCGTCACCTGATAAAAACCAAAGAAAAGACACAATTTCCCAGCAGCCAGGGCAGGCGCAGGGAGGACAGACACTGCTCTCCAAGGAGCAATAAGTTAGAGCTGGCGCTGACGTCAACAAAAATAAGGAAAAATGAAAACAGAGTGAAATCTTAAAGTGGGAGAACGTACCTGGACATCCATGATGATGTGCATAGCAAACGTTCGCTCGCTGAGGTGTAACCACTGAAACTTACACAGGGGCACGGGTCGGCCACATCTCAATAACCCGGGCGAGAAAAGAAATGCCACAGGGACTGTTCGGAGCAATATAAGTGCAGGAGGAACGAAAGAGCCACTGGACAGGCATTTTCAAAAAGGTCACGATAAATCAATGTGGGTCCCATAAAATAATAAAACACCACAGTGCTTAAAGCACACAGAATTCAAGTGCACGGAGCGATAATGCACGCGCTGGGGTGGGTGAATGAGCGCACGTTGCAACCTCTGGGAAAAAGCCCCTCGTAAGAAAGAAGAATAGCAGGCAAAGTATAGCATAAACATACAGTATATTCAGTGCTAACAAGCACATATGAAGAATAGTGCTAACGTACCACAGTAGAAAAGAACGTATCAGGAACAAGTTATCAGAGCGAGAAAACGCACCAACAAGGTGTGTTTGGATAAATCAAAGGAAGCCCCTAAAAAGGCAGAGAAAGAACATCCCAGGAGGTGAAACAGCCACAGTGAGGGATCACGTCGCAGCCACGGGGACAGCGATGAGAGAGACAACCACGTCAGTGCAACATGGCAGGGCCGCGTGGAAAACAGATCGGTGGTTCCTACAAAATCAGACAGATGACAGGTGAGCCAGCCACCCCACTTCTGGGTGTCTTCTCCAAAGAAGTCAAAGCAGGAACTGCGAGAGCTGCAGGTCAAGGTCACCGCAGCATTATTCATAACAGTCAAAACATGAAAGCAACCCTCGTCCACCGATGGATGAATGAATAGCCACATGCGGCATATCCATACAAAGGAGTATTATTCAGTCTACAAAAGGGAACCCTGATATACGTAGTCTGTGATATGAATAAATACTGAAGACGTTATGCTAAGTGGAATAAGCCAGTCTCAAAAGGACAAATGCTGTATGACCCCACTTACGTGAGACGTCTAGACAGTCAGACTCACAGAGACAGAGACAGAAAGTAAATTGGCAGCTGCTGAGAGGAGGGGAGGGGGGAGGGGCAGGGGAGGGGAGAGGGAGGGGGAACTGATTCATGTGTAGTTTCAGTTTCCCAAGATAAAAAAAAAAGTTCTGGAGATGGATGGTGATAAAAATCAATAAATGCATATCCTTGGGTGAGGCTTTTTTTAAAATTTTTTTAAAAGCTATGAAAAAAAGGGTAGCTATATTTCGGGTCTCCTGTCCTGAAGCAGACCCTTTCAAATACAGTCTAGCCCAAGCATGTCAAACTCGCGGCCCACAGCAAATATTTTTGCAGCCCAGCCAATATAAGTCTGTAAGAAACGTTTTAATAAAAATTTCGTAACTTGCCCTGATTGGTTTGGGTCAGTGGATAGAGCGTCAGCCTGGGCACTGAAGGGTCTCAGGTTTGATTCCGGTCAACATGCCCAGGTTGTGGGCTCGATCCACAGTAGGGGGCATGCAGGAGGCAGCTGATCAATGATTCTCATCATTGATGTTTCTATCTCTCCCTCTCCCTTTCTCTCTGAAAGCAGTAAAATTATATTTTATAAAATTAAAAAAGAAAAATAGGTTTACTTGCATTATGCTTATTAATTTGCAGTTATTCAGTGTCTGGTAAGTTAATGTCCAAGAAAAAATATTAATTTTCATTAAAATGTTCTATTATTTTGTTAACGATGACTCATTTATTTCAGCCCTTTGTATTCAGCATGTCTCTATCGAAATAAACCTACGTTTCTATGAAAATTGAAATTTTTGTGTTTTTGCGGCCCACGTGAACTTAAACCTTGTTTGGCCCATTAGCCTTTGAGTTTGACATGCTTGGTCCGAGGTCAGCAAACTGCAGCCTCTTGAGTGTGGCTCTTCCACAAAATACCACATGTGGGCACGCACATACAGTGCCATTGAAACTTCGTGGCCACACTCAAGGGGCCGAAGAGCCACATGTGGCTCGCGAGCCGCAGTTTGCTGACCACTGGTCTAGTCTATTTACAGAGAGACCTGATCACGGCCTGGGAGTGACTGAACCTACGGTGACAGACACACACATGCTTACTGTATGCGCTTATTTATCAACAAGACAGAGAGGAGCTGGGGCAGAGTGATGTCCACTGAGGACCGTTAGTCCCAGGACGGGCCTGAAAGGCAGTTTCCAAAGGCAACTGGACACCACCCCCAGGGCTGTTCTGAGCACCCCCTGCATCCCCCGCATTTCAGCCACACCGGCACCAGAGTAAGACCAGCATGCCCCAGGGGAGGGGACACCTGGGGAGCACTAGGCACACCTCTATGACCGAGGCCAATGGGATTCTGGGAGCACCACCTCCCGAGGTCTGCCTCACATTTGCTAAAAGAACAAAAATGTAAGCAGTTTTGCCAAAAATGAACAAACGGGTTTCAAAAAGAGCCGTCTCTTCTTTCTTCTTTGATTTTTCTCTTCAAAAAAAAAAAATTAAGATCCATGGACCTGTAACGTAAACATGCCAAACCTGCTGCACGTTTAAACCCTCATCTGGAAAAAAGCCCAGTTTAAAACCTGACGGTTGTGTACAGCTGCGATTTTCGGCCTTTTTCACCTCATGCACAGACGGCTGAAATTCTGCGCACGCCAGAAAATACAGTGCACTGCGTGCCGACCTGGCCCAAGGTAAGGTGCGATCTTGCTTCATTCTGACGCTGCCGCTGTGCGGGCTGCTGTCACTATTACTTGGCAATCCCAGTGCCTGACTGAATAGCCGGGTACTGCACGTTTTTTAAATCCCCGCGGCACACCCTTTGCAAATGGCGGGTCTGCGGCATTCAAGACAGGTGCACGGGTAGCGAGGCAGCCAGCGCCGGGCAGGGAAGGCCGCAGAAATGCTCAGCCGAGAAGGCGAGCGGCCCGGGCCCCTCGGTGAGTTTGCAACAACTTCCTCTCCCTCTGGACCGGACGCTCCCCCCCAACCGGACGGGACCAGGTCAGCAAATCACACGCTGCTTTTCCACGTCCGAGGCTCAGGCTTTCGGGAGAGCGCGCGGCACAGGGCACAGAATTGAAAGGGCGCGTCCTGAGCTGGACACGGGGACGCTGGCGCCGCCGGCGGGGCTCAGGGGTGGGGATGCCACCTGCAAA